CTAATCGAAGTATTCTCATAATTTATCGCTTAAACGTATTCGATTCGAGTCCATTAATAAACAAACATGCATAATAATTCAATCATATACATCCATGCATTTTTCCATTTTCAACATGTTCTATAAAGCATAAAGAGGTAGTAATGTATTACCTAGATTTCTGTACCATATTGATTGACCATAAAAATTTTATTCGAACGCCCTTGATCTTGAAATCATCTTCCAATAATTCCTAAGATGCATGTCATCAGAAATTACATAAAAATGGAGCTTAATTTTCAAAAAACGGATCGAATCGGATGATAAATCATTGAAAACCAACTTACCGGGTTCGAATTTGGTGAAACGGACCCCAAAAACGGATCCAGGATGTCTAAAAACGTCAGAATAGGTATACCCAGTCAAAGTCAAAGGTCGTTCAACGCCCGGTCAATGCCGGTCAAAGTTCTGGTCAACAGTGGTCAACGCCGGTCAACGATCAACGCAGGTCAACGGTCAACAGTCGATCGTTTTACACAAATATCACCCTAACAGAAATTAATTACAAATTTAGCCACCTTCTAAAAATGTTTACAAAACTAACACCAGCGTTTTATGCAAATATCACCCTAGCAGAAATTAATTAAAAAATTAACACCCCCTACGCGCAGTGGCGGCACGTGAACAGTGATACAGTGTCGGAAAATTCCCAGAAAAATTTCTAAAAATTATTTTAAGGCATTTTGAGACACTTACCAAGCTCGGTTCACAATTTTGAACGACGGAGAGCTCGATTCCGAAAATCGAAAACTTTGACTTTCTAACCCTTCCACGCGCCGACGACGACGGAGAAACGAAGGACACCAGTGGACTCGGAACAATGCAAGGAACACGATGGTGCGGGAGGTGTCAAAAACGGATGGTCGGATCGTCGTGAATCGATGAAAAACCAACTGAAATTGAGTTAAAATCAACAATACTTCCGATTGAAATTAATGACGAACGACGTCGATTCACAATGAAAGGTTTGAGGGGTTTCGTTTATCGGTCAACAACGAACACGATGGTGGTTTTGGTTCGTCGATCGGAGATCGGACGGCGAGTAGATCGGAGTTGAAAAGAGGGTTATTGGAGGAGGAAAACTGGGAAAATTTCTGCTAAACATATGGGGGAGAGATTTATAATTCTCTCCAAAATAAAAATTGGTAAATCATAGGTTTAGTCACTGAATTTCCTGCACTTCTTAAAATGGTCTGCCAACTTTACGATTTTACAATTTAATCCTCAATTTTCCTCCCAAACTACCAATGAAAACCACCACTTTATAATTTATAAAATTTAGCCCCTAAATTTGGGTGTGACATACGGGACGTTACAATCACCTCATTTATATTATGTGAAACCTTTGGTTGGCTTGGAATGCTTATGTTTTTAACACCTTCAATGCTAGTAATGGTTCGGTTGTTGAATGTAGCAAACAGCTGATCATTCTCTACACTCTTGCATATGTTGATAATTGTGTGTCTCACTTGGGGGACACTGATTCTCGTCTGGATATCGTGTGATGGTCAACTCCATAGAACAATGGATTAAAATAAACTCGGAGGGGCTCGTTGTGGTGATAGTGGTCATGTGATATGTGTTGGTGTTGTGCACGATGAACACTGTGAGTGGCGATTTGGTTATTCAAAGTTTATTGGTATTTGTTCAGTGTTGAATGTCGAACTTAGTGGGGCTTATCTTGCTTTATTTTATTCTTGGGAGATAGGTTGTCGATAAAATTGTTTTTGAAATTGATAGCTTAGAGGCAATCCGAGTTTTGAAGGATGGCTTTAATAGGTCACATTTCCTAAAACGACATTTAGATGAAATCCATAACCGTAATTGGACTATAATAATTTAGCATATTAGCCGCGAGGGAAATAAGGTGGCTAATGCGACGATGAAGAGTGCTCGGATTGATACTCTGGATAGTTTTTTTTATCACCCCATTACGCCTTCTTGGATTCATACATTGTTACAGGACGAGCTCAATCCTATTTGAGTTTATAGTTTTATTTTCTTGTGTTGTTTTAGTGTTAGTATATGTACTATTTTCCTCCATTTATGTTAGGGAAGTTTTTAATGAGGCATATACTAATATTTCTCTGTGTATGATTTTCTATAAATCATACACTGCACCAAAAAATTAATTATTTTTATTATTTTTGAGTTTGGTCGAATATTTTCACTCTAAACTCAAATCTGATATGACTTTATACTTTAATAATACCTAACTTGACCCAAATTTAATTTTTTATATAAAAAAACTCGATTCTCTTAAGTTCAAATTAAAATGTAATAAGTTTGAGTTAAATGTGTTAAATGTTTGTGTCAAGTAAATTTGTTTCAATTTAAAGGTTAGTAAAAAAATTAGGATAAATTACATTGTAATGAAAGCAAACTTTTTGTTAAAAATAATTATAATGAAGAAAACTAAGATAATACATATTTTTATCACAAATAATAAATATTTTTTATCAATTCAAGGATTTCAATGTTCTATTTATGTGTGTATATATAGTTACATTTTGTATTGAGAATATAGAGAATATATTGCATGTGTTGTTGAATAGACTTTTCAGCTTGGTTGATGTCTATTCAAACTAATTTTTTTTTGGATAAATTATATAAATGATTATTAATGTTTGAATAAATTTTAATTCTCATCGATATTTTAAAAGTAATAAACTGATCACTAATATTATTGATTTATAACAAATTGGTCACTCAATCATTAACAATTGTTATTGAAGTAACGAAATGCTAACGTTACACGTTATTATAACTTTTTGGACATTATTTTATCACAGGAGATCATTTTGACCGATTCTCACCTCACCTCTTCTTTTTCTTCAACTCACCATTTCCCTTTTTTTTTCTCCAAGTGCATCCTTCCCAAATCCTTAAGCTTTCATATTTTATCATCTCCTATAATACGAAGCTCAACTGTATAACTTCCAACATCACAGGTGAAAATAATTGCATTGAATGTAAGTCCATGTCAGACATCGAACTCAACTGAAAGGTTGTACTATTGTAATATATTTCGTGTTGGTATTTTGATTGTTTCATAAAATTTTGTGTGAGGGTGAGAGTTATTGTAAAACATTGGTCAATTATATATGTTGTTACTTATGATATTTTACATGAGCAGTGGCAAATTTAAAAATATTTTTGAGATGAACACACATACGTTATTAATATAATTTTTTTCGTAATGAGTACAAATTGTTTTTAAGATGAATACAATCAATAAAATAAACAATTAACTGATAAAAATTCAGATTCAGGGTAAAAATGTACCAACCTAAACTAAGGTCGGTGAATTCGCCATTGATTCCCTCATTGTAGCCGTTGTTGAAGGGGTGGAGGTGGAAGATTTCCTAGTCTTTAGGAAGGATATATAAGTCATTTAGTAGATCATCTCTCGACGAACCTGGGGAAGAAACGATATGGTGCCGGCCAGAGCAATAGGGATATCGAGCGGAATCCAGCAGTCGGAGTTGGAGTCAGCAGAATCAGACGACGCCAAAATAAGAGGAGTGAAGTAAGCGGGTAGCTCATAAGATGATACCTTATTGTGCAACCAAACGGATCGTCTAGTTCTGAATGGGAAGAAGTAGAATGTTCATACCAACTGAATTTCTCTTTTTCTTTATATTCTTATTTTGTTTAATAGGTTTCCCGCTTTTTATTTTCATTAACATTGACATTGACAGTTTGATGACGTAACTTAACGGGCCTTTTATAGATATAATTTAAAAAAAGCCCAAAATAGAAACTATATTTTCGTAAAATTACTAATACAGTAGAAACTATGCTATAGGCTTTGACGTGGAATTTAATAAAAAAATATAATTCACTTAGTGAGATTGAGCTACAAATTTCTCTCAAAGGATAATACTATTTTTATCTTTTTAAATAACGGATAAATTACTTGATCAACTATTTAATTTTGAGAAGATTCTATTCTAATCAATGATCTATTCATTTTTTTAATAAGATAATTTAATTATATATAAATGATGTCAATTAAATTACCTATCATTAATACTTGACGGAGTAGTTGATGTGATAATTCAAATAATTTATATACTAATTATACATGTAGTCCTCATTACTTATAAATCCTATCAAATTGATCCTAATTTTAATTTAATTTAATAAATTGATAGAATGTGTAAGTAATGAAGACAAAATGTATAACAATTCTTTTAATCGACACCTTATCTCATCCGTCAAATATTAACGTATGTAACTTAATTGAAATCGTTTGAATTATTAAGTGATCTGGTTGAAAAAAAAATTAGCATATCAATAATTATATTAGAATCCTCTAGGGTTAAGGGGTCATCCGTGTAATTTATACTTACATAATATAAGTTTGGGCTTCATATTTTAAAATAAAATTCAAGATAAACTGATTGATGATTTTTTATAATTAGAACAGAAAATAACATTAATAATAACAGAAAATTAATTATCAAATTAAAATTAAAAAAGTTAAGTCCGGATATTTAACAAAATATCTGGATATGGCTTTGATTCACTAAGGCCCAGAAGAATCAAGATCTAATGATTTGTTTGGAAGATTATTGGGTTTTTTGGGCTAACAGAGCACATAGGTAAATTATTTGTAAACATAGAGTTAGTAAACGTTTATTTTTAGATCTACGGTACTTTTTATAGTGTTTATGAAACTCGTCATGTCGAGATGAAGAGTTACAAAAAAATATTTTTTATTAAAATTTATCACATCGAGATAAAAATTTTAAATAAAAATATTTTTATCAAAACTCTTCAATTTGATGTGACGAGTTTCATGCATTATAGAAAATACTGTAGATCTCAAAATAAAAGTGTTTGGTCTATTTCGTAAAAATTTGGGCCTTTAAACTCTAAACTTGTATTAATAGATCTTTAAAATCTGTTTAGAACAACAGCCCATTCCCTTATATTTATATAGAACAGAAAACAAAGAAGGTATTTATAGAAGCCAGAAAATTTCGAGAGCAAAAGCAGCGAAGAAGCAGATATGGATTTTAGTGTTCTCAACGAAGCCCTGGCCTCCAAATCCTTCGATAAGGTCGCCGATATATGCGATGCCCTCATGCTTCAGGTTCCATTTTAAATCTCCAAAATCCTATGATACAAGCCTTGAATCGACTTTTTGAAATAAAAGCTTTGTTTTATGTTGTAAAAAAAAACTAATGATAAAACCAGGTAGTAGCGGAGGGCGTTCCTTTCCGAGACGAATGGCCTTTTGCAGTTCATCTTTTGGGCCACATCTATGTTGATGATGTGTAAACTTCTTTTTATTTTTTCTTTCTTCCTTTGTTTAATTAATGAATTTATACTTTTGGGAATATATTTAGTTTCTTTTTCAAAATTTTAGTTTGGGATTTTTGTTGGTTTTCAAGAATATATAGACTTAGTGTAGGATTTTGAATCTTGGATGTGGATGGTTTTACAGTAACAGTGCGAGGTTTCTTTGGAAATCAATACCTGCTACGATCAAGGAGAGCCAACCGGAGTTGGTTGCGGCCTGGAAAATAGGTCAAAAGCTCTGGACAAGGGACTATGCTGGTGTCTACGAGGCTATTCGCGGCTTCGATTGGACTCAGCAAACACGAGTTCTTGTTGCTGCTTTCTCAGGCAAAGCTTTCTCTAATCATAATTTTCGTTGCAATTCAAGTACTTGTGTGTGTGTGTGAAAAGATGAACCAAACCCCGAAGTAATTTTTAAGGAAACCCATATTTGTTAATTCAGATATTATGGCATGAAATAGGAGCAAAATCATGTAGAATCTTGTGACTTCATATCGTAGAAGGTTTTATTGTGTATTATAAAGATTTAGGTAATGTAGCAGTTGAGATAATGATTTTCTGTCTGTTTTGTAGAACTATACACTAAGAGGATGTTTGAGCTTCTGCAATCTGCTTATTCAACTATAAGCATCCAAGATGCGGCTCAGTTTCTTGGAATGAGTGAGGAAGACGCCACAAATTGTAAGTATACACATTGTTTATTGTGTTTATGTTCTGAAGTTTCCACTATTTTAATAATTTCTAGATGTTTTCATTAAGCTTCTTTTATTAACCGAGTAACCTTGTAGTGTAAAGAGAAACATATATTATCCGAGAGGACGACTTATGGATGTAGTTTAGGCTAAGAATTCCACGTTTTGGCTTGAATCCCAGCAGCCTCACTAAGTCCTAATTATCTGAAAGCAAAATTGGTAGTGGAAAGAGACTGTCTTAGTACAGGCCGGGGACATGTCTGCTTTATATAATAAATCGGTGACAACAATGTCAAAAGCTTCTTCTACTTATGGATTTATTAGAAATCGACATCTTTAGGCTTTTGAAACTTTTGCCTTTCAAATGCTCTCGAAACGTGCATAATGCTTTGAGACTCTCAAACATTGTGGCAAAGGAGAGCTATCTTTTTCAATCTCCCTTTTGTTTTATGAAACAAGATTGATGACTATGAAAAGCTAAATACCCATTGAAAAGCAATGAACTTTTTCTGTTTATAGGGTTACTCCAGTCTAGGATAATGATAATCATTTGGATTTCCATCCAAGTCCAGTTGTGCTGATAGTTTAAGTACCATTTAACTTTCCCCACACTCAAGATCGTTAACCAGGTCAGAAACTACGGTGCAATGGTTTATGTGGTTAGTAAGTCATAGGTTTTTGTCTGCAAAAGAGGATTGTAGATTCTTCAAGGTTTCTCTGAGCCTCCGATAGAGTCTTTCGAGGGTTGTTTTAGCTTCTGTTATGGCTTCAAAAGATCCAAGACAGTAATATTTGCTCTTTCCAACACTTTTGGGTTGTTTACTTGATGCTTACAAGGTTTTCCATGCATCCAATAGACACTTTTTAGGATTATTTTAACTGATTTTGGTTGTCACATGCAGATGTACTCCGGCAAGGATGGACAGTCGATCCTACGTCACCAATGCTAACTGTGACGAAACAAGCTATTGTGAAAGAGCAGAAATTAGACCCTGGCAAATTGCAGCGACTGACAGAATACGTCTTCCACCTTGAACACTAAAATCATATTTACTTCTGAGTTTTGACTGTTTTGTTGACTTCGAATTCTTTAAGCTAGTTTATGCTTCTAATCTTTATGAGAATTTCGGGAGCTTCTTATAACTTCATACATATTTGATGCCTTTTTGTTTTTAATGTTTGAAACAATTTCACTGAATAATCATGCAGCAAATGTTTGAGCACTTTGCTCTCTCACAAACTAGTAAGGAATTATAATTAAGATAGGTCATATTATTCTTTATTGTGCGTAATTAATCCTTATATTTTTCAAAATTTAAAAATTTGATCTTTAAATATATGGATTTAAATTCTATTAAGAAACCCTATTGGATAGCACCAGAACCAGAATTATACAGCAAGTAGCGAGTTAGTTCTTAACAAATCCTCTTGCATGTCACCTCTCTCTAAATTATTGTATTCATTCTAAACCAATTCAGCACAACAGTGCGATGTACGAATAAATTGCTTCTGATAATACCACTTCGTTTTGGGTGACAATCTAACCAGAATCTTCTACTCCTAAATGGCTTTTATGGTCGGCTATTGAATTTGACTCTACCCTTGGCGCTCACCTGTTCGGCTTCACTGTCATCTGGCCACGCCTCATCCTTGTGTTACAGAGATTTAAGTTGCAGTTGTAGCTCCGTTTTCGGTTATATTATATTTTTCATGATTACAGACGCAATGAATCGTAGTATAACATTATTATCATTATATAACAATCGTTATTTTAATAACGGACCGTCATTTAATTTTCTTACTTTTGGTTATTGTGCTTTTATACAATCCTCGATTGTTTATCCATGTCAGAAAATTATGACCTAGCAGCATGTAGAAAATTTTACTTACCTACTTTTTTTTTGGAGATTTCGATTCGAAATTTAAACATGTTGATTTTTGTTTTTTTTGTCAGAATGAAACCTTCTTATCACCTGTATGTGCTTTGCTACAGTGTGTCTTAATGTTAAAGATTTATTGCTGATAAAGAACCCTTTTCTATTTCAGAAAAAAGAAAACTTTAAAAAGGAAAATATCTGTCCATAGAGCAACTTTGATTTGGTACACAATCATCAAGCAAAACTACATACAACCAAGTATTTGTTTATTAAGCACAAGACAATGCTTGAGCACTTTGCTGACTTATAAACTCCTACTTACCGACATAATACTAATTAAACAACCATAATTGCAGAAAATAGTTATCTTTTAGAAGGCTTTCTTTTTTCTCAAAATACAATTCCGGTGCTTCATTCAAGCTGAATATCGGAATCATAAGCTACTCCAGCTTCCCAGTTATTGGGGAGGGCGTTTGATGCCTCCACCCAATACACCCCGGCGCTGCCACTCACTTGGAACCTCAAACTGATGTATCCCGACGACGGTGGGCTCGTCGTGTCGAAAACGGCTCCATACGCCCTCCTCATAAATATCCACTCCTTACAATCCTCCTGCGCCGTTCACATTCGATTTTCATACGCATCAGTATCGTCACAACAAATTCTAATGTTTCAGAATTAATGAATTCATTTTGAGCGTTTTAATTACCTGCCAAATTTGCGCCGCAAGGATCTCGCTTCTCCCGGGTTGGTACAAGATCACAATGGCCAAGTAATCGGGGTACTTGCTATGTTCATGAACCTTGAACTGCAGCTTGTAACCTCCGTAGCGGCAGGGGATTCTCTTGTATTCGACATCAACGACTCCGCAAGCGTACAGCTCGTCTGCTTTGTCCGATTTCGCCAGCCTACCGTAAGCGCCAGGGCTGAGGATGAAATCGGTTTTGTCGCCTTCACCGTAGTCGGTCACCACGATGTTCACCCCATCATCAGTGCAGAGCTGAGGGTTTTTGCACCTAACCTGATAGCAAGCACCACAACCACTTCCCTTCTTGTAGAGCCTGTACGAAACCCCAGCCACATTCGCATCATTCACAGTCCTTCCATACTCTCCGTACCCGCAAGCTCCTCCTGAAATTCATCACAGTTGAAACATGACATTTATATCTGATATCTCTCTCTAAATAACGAAGGAAACAAATAAATAAACAAAAAATATATTATATAGGAGCAATGTACGTACTTGGAGTCCCTAAACAGTCGGGGCTGCCATAATAAGTTGCTCTGGACTTCACGAAATCGTCCTGGGAGTAACACAGTGTAGACGGAAGCACCATGATCCACACAAAGCAACAATGAAACTTAAATGAATACCCCATGTTTTCAGCTACAAAAGCAATCAATTGGAACAAAGAGAAGACAGAGATCATACTGAATGAGAAGGTGAGAAATCGGAGTGCCATATTTATAGAAGGGAAGAGGGCGCTGTTGAGCAAATTGCCATGCCTTTTCTCTTTCAGAAATTAAGGCTAAAGGGTTTAATGGGGTAGGATTAAAGATGAATTGTACTCACAAATTGCTATATTATATCATTTGTTTATGCTGTAATTGCTTTTCATCCATTATAGGTATAACAGTGGAGAAGAGATGTTTTTGGTATTCTTCGTCCTCCGTTTCTCCTTTTTCCACCTATCGATCAAAAGAAAATCAACGGAAAGATGAAATAAAAGAATCCCACATTCTCACCTGGTTTAACCAGACGTAGAATACGATCTTTAAACCCACAGTATTTTAGCTAAACTGGAGTTTTTCTTATTGTTCTAATTTTTTAAGTTATAAAATGAATATTATTTTTTTTATTATAAAATAAACATTACATTTTAGTTGTTTTAATTATTTTTAGGGGATAGGATGATATATTAAATTAACTAGTAATATCTCGTTTGATCTAAAGTGTAACTAAAATTTTGTGTTATTATTTTTCCAACATTCCTAAGCAAAATTCTAAAAAAGTAAACTTTTAGTGTGTGTATGTATATATTTATAATTTATTTTTAAACTTATAAAAAATATTTTTCATTTTGAGAATCTTTTTACAAGTCATACAATTTTAATAAAACCCGTCATATTTCTCGTTACTTATACTCTCACTCATGAACGACACATATATCGGAAAATAACTTTCAAAATTTTAGGAGGAAATAAAACTTATAAATTTCTAAAAGGTAAAAATACATTATCAATAAAAATACATAAAAAATATAAAAATATGATAATTTAATATTTTCAGGGGAGTAGCTTAGGGTTCATTCTTACTTTCACCCTCATTATAACGTATAACAAAATTTAATGTTCGATATTTTGTATATCCTATAACCATAATGAACATATCTCTATACTTTTTAAAGCTTTTAAGAAATTATAATGATTTTAAAACATATGCTCTATTTAATCTCATAACTATATAATTATGCAACGAAAGATAATGTTTATTGTGGCGTGTTCATGCAAACATCGTGTTGTTGTCATTTTGTGGCACTGTTATAATATACAACGTTATATGTATAAAATTAGTGACGCTTGCTCAAAAAACACCGCTAAAAGTGTGTACTAAAGTTTTTGTTGACCATCTTTTAGTTGTATTATATTTTTCAACAGATATTTTAAATTTAAAATCATCTTACTAAATAAATAAATAAAAATACTATTTTAAGGTTGAATTTCCTTTCATTTAAGATATTTAGCCGAACAATAGTTATTTAAAATAAGGGTAAATTACACCAATCATCACTGAACTTTACTCTCTCTCATATTTCACTCACTATACTTTAAATCCGTTCAATTTCCTTGCTGAATTTAACATATTAGCATTTTTGGTCATTCAACCGTTTTTTCACTAAACAATGTTATAAATGAGTTATTATATAGATGCAAAACGTATCGTTTTGGTGAAAATTTTGTTTTTTTAAACGGCGTCGTTTTAACGTCGTTAAATATTTAACGGCTGAGTTACAAAAAATGCTAATTGTATTAAATTTAATGAGGAAATCGAACGGATTTAAAGTATAGTGAGCGAAATAGGAGAGAAAGTAAAGTTCAGTGATGATTGGTATAATCTACCCTTAAAATAATTTGACCAAAAGGCCTAAAGAAATATATTTTAATATGGAATAAATACCATAATTAATTTATAAAAAATATAAAAACAAAAACAAAAAGAATTGCTTAGATAATCAACTATTATCTTGAACATAAGCATATGCAACTGGAACAATGTTGCAAGTCAAAGACATCAGTCGAACAAACTAAAAAATTTCATGTTTGCCACCTTTCGAGTTCAAAAGATTAGTGCACGAGGGTCGAGGGTGCCTAGCTGAAATGTTATTAAATTAAAATTTACTAACATGGAAATCATGAAAATAAAGGATAACATTATAATGGACTTGAATTTAATACTAAATTTTAACAATGTTAACAACTGAATTTGAATATTTAAATCTAGAAAATATACATTAAATTCCTAAAAATAAATGTAAGAAACTAAATTCCAAATATACTAAGAGTATAAGGATTTGGACCATATTCTAACCTACAATAAATCTGGTAACATTAATAATTCTTAAATATAAAAAAATATATGGACTTTGAATTTTAATTTCAACTACTAGTGACCGAAACAAAATGAAATAATAACTTTGGTAACTAAAATGAAATTTTTATATAAAAACACAATAATAATTTAGTGGTTAAGTAGGTATTTTACTTGAAATTTATATACTAATGAAAAAAATCAACATCAAGTCTGCTCCTTTTTATGTATCATTTTTTTTTATAGAAACACATCAAGTTTTATTAAAATATAAAATATCCATAATTACAATGAAGATATACGAGCATAACCGTAAACATAAACTAAATTATAATTAAAACATTTTACTATAATCATTAACATAAAAATTAGTCACCTAGATCACACAATGACCATAAAATAAAAAACCTAACCAATAATCGAATAAAATAAAGATACAAACAAATCTGACTGCATCGGCAAACGAACCACAAAAGGGGATGAAACTATTGAAAAACCACCGACAAATCGTAAATCAAAGTTAAGCGACGTGAGAAAACTATCCATGAGTGCAAAACACATATTCAAATCAATACGAGGGTCCAAAGGAGGGAATATCAACAGGATAACAAATAAGAGTCATCTTTATCAGTCATGACGATGTCAAATTTAAACATGTGAAAAAAGATAAACGAAAAAACAACAAAAATTGTAATCTACCAAAAGGTAAAGAAAAACATATCATAAAGGCATAGATAAACGTGACATAAAGACAGAGAACATGTTACAAAAATATAATTTTTCTTATTAAAAAACTAAAAAAACAAAGAAAAAATATAACAGGTGAACGGCAACCAACATCAAAATCGGTGTCGTCGTCAGTTAAATAAAATTAAAGAAAAAATTAGATTAATTAATAAAATTGACACAAATTGTAAAGAAGAAAAAGAAAGGAAGAGAGAGGAGGAGGAGGAAAAAAAATTCTATGTATCATTTATTTAATAATTGACAATGTAGAATAATACAATTTTTTTAACCATGAGCTCACCAGTGAATCATCTCTAATAAACTGACAAGTTTAGCATGTATTGTAACGACTGCAATAAACCCACCACTTTGGTGGGTTTCATTGTAACACACTACCACGACAGCTAAACCAGTAAGAAAGTAGCAAAATGGCTTAAACTACTGTCATTTATGGTGGAAAATTTTAAGTGAAAGACTTCACATTATAGGGTGGAAAGTCATCACTTCAATGTTTTCGTGGGTTTAAATAACAATTGATCTTAAAAAAACAAAACTCTTGACACGTTTAAATTGAAGTGGGCATGTACAAGGAACAAGGTTAAATTACAATGTTTGAACTTTCTATAGGATTAGGTGTGTAAATGTAGGTGATAGGGAAGCGGTGGCGGATTAATAAACGTTTTTCTTGTTGAAGAATCAAACCTAGAAAGCTCTAGATTCGAAGAAGAATAATAGGGAATGAATAGGGGAAGGTGGTGATAGCAAGTAGAGTTCTTTAGGGTTTCTTTTAGGTGCTAGAAACAAGGTAAAAAATAATATTAGAATAATATAAACAAAAGATAAAGAACTTAAAAATAAAGTATGATAATCAAGAAATCAAAAGATCTCCCTTGTGAAGGTAGATGGCAAAGGTGATGATGGTGAGGATGAATTTGTGGAAAATAAATGGATAATGTTCTATCGAGCCCTCCTAGTCACAATGAAAAGATAAACAAGATAATATGGCTCTAACAAACCCTCCTAGTCGCGATAAAAAGGTAAATTGGATTGTAAAGATTAATCTCCCTCACAAGAACTTGAAAGAACTCCAGAAGAAAAAGCTTCGAAGGCAAAAGGTAATTAACTTGCAAAAACGAACTCTCGTTGTATTACTAATCAAAGAAATATGTGTTACAAAGCTGAATGAAACCTCCTTTATATAAGGGATGAGTTCTAAAGGTCTTAAATAACTAATGAATAAAATAATAACAATCTAAATATGCCTTAACTCTAATTCCTAATAAAATAATAATAACTAAAATTAATGTTTTAACTCAACCTTAATTCCTAATAAAATAATAAATCTAATCCTAAATGATAATTCATCATCCTATATTAAATTATATTACAAACAATCAATATAAATATTGAAAATTCGTAACATTTACAAAATCACGTATTAATATCGTATAAAAATTTCTGCATGTGTTATCTTCACTAAAATGAACGTATCTTAAGTTCCCGATATCAGATTGATGCGATCAAAGAACCGTTGGAAAGCTAAGAGACAGATGGTTGTATATACAGAAGACATATTGACCAAATAAGATCAGGATCCCATTCAAAAAGTCGTCGCAAGTCTTCTGTTGTTCTAATTTTATTTTCCAAGACTTGGGCGAGTGGATCATTTGGAATAGTTATTACTTCTTCTTTTAATGTGAGCATTGCGATGCATGTATCAGTAGGTTCTATTAGTATAGTATTTTATTTGGGAAGTGGGTTGGTGGCTTTTCTTCCTTGTTTTCCATTTGGCGATTGCACGTCAAATTGTGTTGCAAATACCATGGTTTTATGGCTATGGTGGTGATTGATTAACACCTGGTTTCCAGTTTTATTGGCTTAAACAAATGGTTTTATTGGCTTTGATTGAAGACTGAAAATGCACAAACAACATTATAAGAAGAGAAATATGTATATATAAATATGTGTATGAAAGTAATTGAAATGATAGAATGAAGTTGAAGTGGATTGTAGATGAAAAAAGTGTGGTGGTGATAGTGGTTGAATGTATGTAACGAAAATGGTGAAGGATGTTTGTGGTTGGCGTGGAGAATGATAGTAATTCAAAGGATGGATTGTGACCCTCTAACTATATATGACTTAGGAACCAACAATATAATAAAGATGGAATCGAAGTGATAGAGGGTGGAACGTGACCTACTAGCTATAGTAGAGCTAGGAACCAACGATAT